TTGGCAACATCACCATGTGTGCCATTTCTTCGGTCGCGTAGGTTTGTAAAGATCCCCGACAAAGCTCAAGTAAAGACTTTGCACGATGTTGGTGTCAAGACAAGCCAGATAATGGATTTGTTGGTGCAACAATCTGGGTCTTTCGCGAATGTGGGCTTTATTCACAAGGATTTGCACAGTTATATTCAAGCCGAGCGCAAAGTAGAAATGAAGGATGGTGATGCGGAGTGTGCTTTGGCTTACTTATGTGAAAAAGCTGATGCTGATCCTTACTTCTTTTACAAGTATGACAAGGATCAAGAGAATCGGCTTGACAAATTGTTTTGGGCAAATTCAAGGTCTCGCCTAGACTATGCTGCATTTGGTGACGTGTTGGTCTTCGATACAACTTATAAAACGAATGCATATAACAAACCTTTTGTTATTTTCGCCGGGGTCAATAACCATTTTGAAACCACCATATTTGCATGCAACTTGCTTGTTGATGAGACAATTGCAACATACACATCGGTTTTGCAAAAGTTGTCAGAGGCCATGGATAACAAAAGACCGGTGTTAGTGTTGACAGATGGGGATATGGCCATGCGTGAGGCAATACAAAAAGTCTTCCCAAGTGCCAAGCATCGTCTATGTAATTGGCATATACACAGAAATGCCAAGCGAAATGTTCAAGTTGATGCATTCGAGGGACATTTCAAGCATCTCATGGATCTTGATGCGAATGAGGTTTTATTTGAGGAAGCTTGGAGTAAGATGGTTAGAAAATATGGCCTTCAAAATAACAAGTGGGTATCAGACACCTACAACAACAAAGGCATGTGGGCTTAGTCATATTTGTGTGGTCATTTTTTTGCTAGAATGAAGAGCAGTCAGCGTTGTGAGGGTATGCTTGCTTTTTTCAATGAGCGCCTCAAACGAAAACTGAAACTATTCGAATTTGTTAGATGTTTTGACATGGCCCTTTATCGGTTACGAAACAAAGAAGCGGATGCCGAGGCAAAAACTGACAACAGTGATCCTTGTCTTACCACAACACTTCAACCTCTAGAGAAACATGCAGCAACCATCTTTACCAGACGTTTGTTCTTAATGTTCCATAATGAAATAATTGAGGAAGGATTGTTGATTTTTGATGGAAGGAAAGAGAAGTTTGATCATCGCATATACAAATTTTCAAAGTACACTGAATTTGGTTCCACATGGGAAGTGTCATACCATCCTGCAACTAGCATAATGAAATGTAGTTGCAAAAAGTTTGAGTTCTTTGGACTTCCTTGCAGCCACATGATTTTTGTGATGAAATGTGAACACATGACTGAAATTTCCCCAAGTTGTCTGATGCATCGTTGGACAAAGCAAGCAAGAAAGGTTGGTGAACAACATTGCCAAGCCCAATTCTCTAGCACTCTTACACAGGAGACACGTTTTGGGGTTCTTTGCTCTTTTTTTACTAAAATGTGTTCCTATGCCTCACAAACATCTAAAGGATTTGAAGAGGCTAGGAATGCATTTTTCACTATGACATGTCGGATGAAGCAGCTTTGCATGGCCAAGGGAACTAATGTTGATGAAGGAAAAAGTTCACTGCCGCCATTTGGGGTTGGGGATCCGAAAGTAGTGAACACGAAGGGGAATACTGCGGGATCCTACATGGCTAAACCTCGAAAGCCAAGGCGATGCCAATGTTGCAGGTATACATTATATTGTGCTTTGTGTCTTAATTTTGTTATTGTGAGGTAGTCTTGGCATTTTTGTTCTCCTTAATGATTGGTGATTTACTTGCCAATGTAGGGTCGTCGGGCACACAAGGAGAACTTGCCCCCAAAACGATCATAAAACGGGACAAGTGGGTAGCAATTTGTTTGAGGAATATGATGATTATTATCCAATTGGTACTCCCACCCCTTTACACTGAAGCGTCCCAGGAATAATATGAGGCCATGTAAGACCCACCCTGTGAAGAGACGACTTTTTGTCACTAATGTGGATACGTCTCCAGTGCAGTTGAGCAAGGATGTTAATGACTTGCGTAGTTGTGATGCACAAGTCGTCCAAAATTCAGCGTTCACTGATGCGGATACGTCTCTAGGTGATTACTTTTATGGCATCTTTTCAGTTCAAATTATGTTCATTTTGCTCACATTTGTTTTGCAAATTTCATTTGTGGCTACCTAATTCTAATTTCTTGATATGCCAAGATAGATTTTAGCTAGAACATTTAGATGTCATAACTAATTATGATGTTTACAACTTGATTATGAAAATAAATAATTTACGAAAACAAAATGACAAAAGAGTGTGTAATGACCAATATATCAAAATTCAATTTGTTATGATTTGAATCATAAATTTCAAGTGAACAAACCTTAACGACAATATAATTTGTTTCTGCAGGTGTTGCTGTGGGTAATAGTTGATATCATCGAGCGGGTGATATTGGGAACTAAACTAAGATTTTTTTTAAAATTTTTTTTGAGGACTTAAATCTGTTAGTATTTTGTATAAATACTCTTAAATGATGGTTGATGGATATTTGTTTTGCTGTATGGAAGTTCATATTTTGTATGCACACTTCTTTTTTTCCTTGAAGAAAGAATTTTGTAAGGAATTATCATTCACCAAACAAGGTTGTAAGAAATCGTACACTACCTTGCAGTAGTAACTCGCTTTTCAATATTGTTGATCTTCCGTCCAGGTTCATCAAAAGAGTTAAATTGAATAAATAGTTGTATGGACTTGACGAAGACTAGAAGAAAAACTCTGCAATATTATTTGGATGTGATTGATGGTATAAATGGAAAGAATATTTTTGTTTCTACGTAAAATATTTTTTT